ACGACTTCTTAGAAAATTTAAAAAACTTTGTATAGTTTGAAAACAAACTAGGTTCTAAGGGCTCGTCCGCTATCCGCTTATTTGGGCTGGAAACTGAGGGTAAGTCACCGCTGCCACTAGTTCCTGCTAACACCCCCAGAAATTGCAGAGATCTGGACTCCGTCTCCTTTCTTCCAGAAGTCTCTACCTGAAAATGAAAACAACTACACCGTTTAGGTGAAGACTAGTACGACAAACGTAGCAACAGTAAAATTTACCAAAGCACACATTTAGCCGGTCATGAATGTGAAACTATTGAAGGAAATAAAAGCAGAAAAAGCCGGAAAGGTCTGAAAACTGATTCACCCACCTTCGCCACATTGTTCCCGACTCCTACCACGTCACGGTCCTGCAGAGGCTCATCGCTAAATGCATCAAACGCATCCTCATCGAACATCTTCAACAAATTCCGACCTTCATATATACGGGTAAATAAAACCAACCATGAAAATACAGTTGAAATTTTCTGAAAAAAGCCGCACTGAGACCAGCACAGCACTATATTTTTGTGCGCCAAAACTTTGAACTCAAAATGTGCATGAGCTTGTAAATGAAACATAGACAAGGGATGGTTTATTCAAAGCATAAAGCCTTTCTTTCGAACCACTTATACCCAGTACACAACTTGAGAAACTGTTATGGAACACCGACCCGGTATTTGAGAGGCTACGTATTTCTACTTTCAAAGGAGCTCCATGCGCAGTTTTGTTCAGTCTACAAGACAGAGCAGGAATTTCGTACATCTCATTTTTACGTTTTCGTAAGCCTTACTATCCACGCCGCATGACGAATAAAACCTGTACAGTTGTCTTCGTACAAGAAAAGCTACTGGATATGCGACAAAATTAAACCCATTCAGTAGACCTCATTTGCACACATATATTTGCAGCTGTCAAGCTGCTAATGACACCCTACTTCCCTGTTCCATAGCCTCATTCGACGTCGACTTTTAAAATTCTCCCAACCTTTGCACCTCACATTGTTTGTTTTAACAGCCCTAAACCAAGGATTCAGAAGACCGAGAAGTTTACCTCAAGAAATGCTATCCGCGACAGATTTAATTTTAATTAAATGTAAATATGGCTTGTTTGTTCGTTCCGTCGTGCCAACGCTTTAAAATTTGCTTATTTTAGCTTTTCGTTACGTATGCACACTCATAGTCTTTTAACCATGGACAGCAATTAAATGTGATTTTAAAAAACAGATACACAGGTTTCCATGTAAAATTAAGTTTTCAGAGTACATTTAAACTTAGCTCTAGCTCTTGTTCTTATCTATAAATTTTTTTGTTAAGTATCATATTCAGTATTTGTGCTACATAAAAAAACCACAAAAATACAAAACAAAAATACTGTTAAAGGTTACATACTGGAAAAAATTCCTAGCTTAGCAGCAGAATTTCGCCGATATACATTTTCTATAGACTGTTTTGGCCCATCCTGTTTCACACTGATAACTGTATGTCATACAATCGAGTTCAGATGATTCCATATGGAACAACTGTCTTAACTCTTATTAAAATTGTGTTTAAATGTATTCGGCTTTAACTTTGTCTATCCTGCACCTCATATGTGCTAGTAGTTTTTTTTTTCGTAAGCAGTAACAAATCTGTTGTTCTTCTTTTATTAAAAGTGCTATGAAGATCTACCGCAGCTTTCTTTCCAGCGAACTAACAATTTCAAAAAATGAATTAGCAAATTTCATCTGCGA